GGGGGGGGGGGATTGACAGGGGATGGAGAAGGGGAGTTTGACAAAACTCAAGTAGGTTGCACACCTCGATACAGCCTGGAATGGGAGGCATGCTGTCTCCCTACGGAGCTCCTGGAGCCTCCGAACTGAATTCGAAGGAGCAGGTTAATGATTTGATACCTCAATCTCAGTGCAAATGCTGGGCCCTCCTCCCACCTCCAGCCAAGCCCCAGGGGAGTTAGGGCCGGGCGAGTCCCGCCACAGCGCCCGCCGGAGGTAACGGCCATCCCTCTTGGGGAAGGGGAAAGCAGACCCACCTTCCCCAGCGCGGCAGTCCCAGCGGGACTGTTAAATGTGAGGGCTGGGAACAGGGGGCGGGGCCTCGAGGGACTCACATGCGGGGAGGCCCGGGCCTCCCAGCCGGGCGGGCGGCCGGCCACTAGGCAGCAGGACCCGCCCCAAAGCTTCAGCGGGGTCCCCGGCAGTGACCCACCCAAGGCACCTCGGCGCCCGCCCCGCAGCCGTTACCGTCGCTTGATCTCCTCCTCGCAGCAGTCTCGAGTTCTGCCGCTATGACTCCCACCCGCCCCGAGGCCGCCTGCCCACGGTTTTTTACCTCGATCTTCTCCCCGATGCAGGTCGCCATGTTTCCAGGCCCTGGCCTGTGCTCCCCCGATTAGCTCCCTTCACGCAGACCCTTCGAGGCAGCGCTCCAAGCAGCCAGCCGGTCTTGGCGCCCATCAGGTTTATTTCGCTAGGCCGCCGCTCCTGGCGACGACGGCGCAGCCTCCGAAAGGTCTTCCGAACACCTTCCAAGCCTTAGGGAGCGCCTCAGCGCTCCCATTTTGAAAAACTCCCGCCGGTTGCCGCCCTATGGAGGCTGGCGGTGACGTCAGCAGACGTGTCGGAGCAGCTGCGTCGCGGTGCGCATGCGTGACCGCGCTCCCAGGAGGGCTGCAGAGGTGGCTGGTTCTTTAGTCAGAGGATAAGGACCATGCTGCAAACTGGGCCGGGGACCAGGTCCCCGAAAGGACGAGCTGGTGCCAGACATGAAATTTTTATAACTGCTCGGCTAGGCTCTTCTGGATCTGAAAATCGGTTTCCAGTTCCGGAAATAGTAAAACCATGGTAAATTTAACGAATATTTCAACTTAACAGCACGAAAAGAATGGCACTACCTTGGTTAAAGAAACACAGTTTGCATCTCTGATTTATTCCGTAGATTTTCATAACTGTAATCAATGCATGTTTTTGTTGTTATGTGCCGTCAAGCGACTCATAGCGACCCCTATGTACAACCACCCTGAACCCTGCTCTATCCTGTGCCAACCTTATTGTCTCTGATACACCTACCCTGATAACCCCAGTCATTGAATCAATCCATTTCATCGAGGGTCTTCCCCTCTTGTACTGTCCCTCCACCCTCCCAAGCATGAAATCCCTTCTCCAAGGACTAGTCCCACTTTGCGACACGTCCAGAGTATGTCAGACGTCCAGAGTGTGTCAGACGAAGCCTTAGAACCGTTGCTTCCAAGGAGCAGCTTGGTTTCACCCTTTCTAAGCTGAACCTGTTTGTTCTCCTAGAAGTCTACGGTATATAATTAGTGCATTGTTTTTGTTGTTCTTATGTGCCATTGAGTCGCCTGCGACTCATAGTGACTCTAAGTACAACAGCCTGAAACTGTTATAGCCTGTGCCAGTCTCACCGTCTCCAACACACCTACCACCATTACCCCAGTCACTGAATCAATCCACTTCATTGAGGCTCTTCCTTTCTTGTACTGTCCCTCCTTCCTCCCAAGCATGACGTCCTTCTCCAAGGATTGGTCCCTCCTTGCAACGTGTCCAAAGTATGTCAAAGGAAGCTTCAGGAGCAGCCTGGCTTAACCCTCTCTAGGATCAACCTGTTCGTTTTCTTAGCAGTCCATCAGTATGTGCAATACTCTTCTCCAATACCACAATTCAAAGGTATCAATTCTCCTTCTATCGTCCCTAGCTCTCTGATGCACAGCAAGTGATTGCAAAGATCATGGACTGTATCAGGCACACCTTAGTCTCCAGAGTGACATCATTGTTCTTCAGTACTTTGGAGAGGTCTCTACAGACGACTTTCCCATCACAATATGTCTTTTGATTTCCTGGTTGCTGGTGCCAAGAGTGTTGACTATAGAGCCAAGCAAACTAAAACTGTGAATAATACTCTTCTCCAATACCACAGATCAGTGGCATCAATTCTCCTTCTATCGTCCCTAGTCATTGTCCACTCTCTGATGCATAGCAAGTGATTGCAAAGACCATGGACTGTGTCAGGCATACCTTAGTCTCCATATTGACTTCATTGCTCTTCAGTACTCTAGAGAGGTCTCTGACAGCAGACTTTCCCAATGCAATGTTATTTTTCTAGAAAAAAATTATTATTAATTTTAATGAAAATTTACAGAGACTTTGGATTTCCATTCATTCATTGTCGCACTTTTCTTCCTGCCCACCCCTCCCCCCAATACACTCTTCTCTTTGAAAAGTAAAATTCTTTCTTTGTTTTACTATTCCTCTCCCCAGGTCCACTCCACTATGCAGCCTTCGTTCTGGATTCCTGTCATGACAATAAAACCTAATCACATATCCCTTTTAAACAGTTTTCTCCCTCATCTGTTTCCATGCAGTAAACATTATTTATCCTATCTTTCTCAGTCTCCCCCCAATCCCGATGTCAGTCCTGTTTTACAACAGTGGCACTATGCAGTATCTGTCCCGTGTGACTGAGATATTTCACTCAACATAATATCCTCCAGGATTACCCATTTTGAATAATCGCAATATGTCTTTAATTTCCTGGCTGCTTGTTCCAAGAGTATTGATTGTGGACACATCACCCTCCCTTGGGAAACTATTTTATTGTGACTACAGTGTGCTGCAAATGAAAGAGAAGAGGCCCTAAGCCACATGAAGTCAAACCCAGAACAGAAATTTAAGGGAAAGGACTTTTCCTCAGAACCATCTGAGATAGAAAGCGTTTCCTAACATTAGTAGCTGGTATTTGGACTTACAGACTCCTAAACTCAAGAGACACTGGCCACAGCATAAGAAACTGGTAACAGCTTGAAGTGGTTGGAATTACAGAAGCCCATACAGCTTGAGATATAAATTATCATATCAAGGAAGGGCTAGAGAGTGGAAGATAGGTGTTGAAGGGAGTAGGTGGGGACTAGAAGGGAAATGGTGGAGCAGGAAATGAGTAGGTCAAGACACACATGTCTTAAAACAACTATGAGATATCATCTCACCCCAGTCAAAATAGTAAAATTTAACAGAACAGCAAGCAATAAATGCTGGCGAGGTTGTGGAGAAACTGGAACCCTTATTCACTGTTGGTGGGAGTGTAAAATGGTGCAACGCCTGTGGAAAGCGGTATGGTGCTTTCTCA